AGACAGAGAGACAGACAGACAGAGAGACAGACAGAGAGAGACAGAGAGACAGAGACAGACAGAGAGACAGACAGACAGAGAGACAGAGAGACAGACAGACAGAGAGACAGACAGACAGAGAGAGACAGAGAGACAGACAGACAGAGAGACAGACAGAGAGGCAGACAGAGAGACAGACAGACAGACATAGAGACAGAGAGACAGAGAGACAGACAGACAGACAGACAGAGAGAGAGACAGACAGACTGTGTTACAGCAGCAGTGTGTTCAGGCATTAAATGATAAACATTCCTGTTTGTCATCTTGCAATCTACTAATTTATAGAAATAAACCGTATTTAATTTGTCTTAATTTATATAATTTAATTTAATATTCTGTTTTTGTACATATCATATTCTATTTACATTTATTGCACTACTTTTATTTTGTGATGTTGTATGTTATGAAATATGTTGCATAGTTGGAGGAGCTCATGTTGGAGGAGCTCATGTTGGAGGAGCTCATGCTGGAGGAGCTCAGGTTGGAGGAGCTCATGCTGGAGGAGCTCATGCTGGAGGAGCTCATGCTGGAGGAGCTCATGCTGGAGGAGCTCAGGTTGGAGGAGCTCATGCTGGAGGAGCTCATGTTGGAGGAGCTCATGTTGGAGGAGCTCATGCTGGAGGAGCTCATGTTGGAGGAGCTCATGCTGGAGGAGCTCATGTCTCAGGTCAGAAGAGCCATTTCCGCCCTGTCGCTGCTGAGCGTGGCGAAAACACCTTTGCCTTTGAATGATTGTTGTGTCTTACCGTCGCAGGTGAAGGTGAGCGGCTCTCTGAAGTGTCTGCTGTTCACCGTGACCCTGACGCTGACCCCCAGCGCCTGCTGTAGCTCCTCCCCCTCCACTGACCCCGCCCACACAAAGCCCCGATTCCTGATGCGCCCAGAGTGAGGGTCCGCCGAGCGCAGCCTGTATACACAGTACACAGAGTACACACTCAGTACACACTCAGTACTATTACACAGAGTACACAGAGTACATAGAGTACATAGAGTACAGAGTCATTACACAGAGTAATTACACAGAGTACAGTCAGTACACAGAGTACACACTCAGTACAGTCAGTACTATTACACAGAGTACACAAAGTACAGAGTCATTACACAGAGTACAGTCAGTATGCAGAGTACACAGTCAGTACATAGTCAGAGTGTGTGTGTGTGTGCGTGTCTCTGTGTGTGTGTGTGTGTGCGTGCGCATGTGTGCGCATGTGTGTGTGTGTCTGTGTGTGTCTGTGTGTGTGTGTCTGTGTGTGTGTGTGTTACTCACACGTCCAGCATGTGGCAGAAAGCAGCCACCTCCTCGTCTCTCTCCTCACTCACTTGGAAGAGTTCATATCCAAACCCATTGGTCCTGGAGCCCAGAGACACCTGTCAATCACACAGAGCCGGCCAATCAGAAAAGAGATCTCCACTAACCCACCAATCAGAGGAGAGGGGGACAACATGATGGATTGAAAAAAAGCTCAGAGTGCACATTACTTTGAACACAGAGGAGGATGATGAGATCAGAAAAACTGTTTGTTATTTATATTCAAATATTCAGTAGCTGCACTAGGATGGGTTGAATACAGCGGTTACCCTCGTGTGTGCGCTACACTGTGTCCATGACGATAATATAATACGATAATGTGTAGCTTGATGTAAACTAACTGTAAATATAATTACATATTTGGTAGTAAGATCAGGACGGAAGCTGGATGAATGTAATGTAAATAACATTATTATTCATAATAATAAAGTCATATAAATGTGTACCGGGTCTGCAGACACCCGGCGCTGCCCCCTGTTGCTCGGGGCGACGGGGACGTAGGTCCGGGGCGGGACTTGAGGGGGGAGCGTCTTACTCCGGGCCACGGGCTTCCCTGATTGGTCCCCGTTGGTCTTGCGGCCCCGCGACCCCTGTCGGCCCCCGTTGAGTCGGGACAGCGAGTCGTTGATGTTGTCGTAGTTCAGCCCCAATTTGGGAGGGTCCACTTTGGAAGGGCCCACTTTGGAAGGGCCCACTTTGGGAGGGTCCACTTCGGGGGTGAACAGGTTGACATCTCGGGGCCTGGGGGGGCCTCGGGGGGGCAGGAGGGGGAGAGGGGGGAGGGGGTTTCTTGGTGGGAGCGCAGGGGGGATGTCGTCTTTAGGAACAGGCTTCGTGCGGGGGCTGTCCCTCAGCTTGGGAACCCCCGGGCGGTCCAGGATGTACAGAGGGGCTCCCTGGGGGGTCTGGGAGCCTCCGGGCTGGGTGAGGGAGGAGTCGGATCCAGAGAGGCCCCTCAGCAGGCCTCCTCCTGGGGGGGGCCGCGGCGGGGCTGGGGTCTCGGAGCCACTCTGGTCCTGCTTGAGTCTGGAAAGAGCGTCGTACTCCATCTGAAGAGCCTCGGCCACAACCAGCTCCTTCGGGCTGAGGCCCAGAGCCTCCAGGCCCCACGCCGGGTCCCCGTCAGGGGGGGGGGGCCGCAGACATGGTGGGGCTACTGGGAGGGGGGGGCACACATGGAGCTGCAGGGGACACAAACACTGTTTTATTATGTGGAAAACAGAAACAGTCCTAAACCCTGACTCAGCACTTCCTCTCTTCCTTGTTTCTTTCTTTAACGAGTCGCTCACAACAAGAGACGTTTGTGAACGTCTTTGGAAACTGCAAGTGGATCATTTCATGGAACTAAAGTGACAATAGAGTAGGGCTGCTCAATTAATCGTATTTTAATCGCGATTACGATTATGGATGCAACGATTACGAAAACAACGTAGTCGAAATAAAACGATTCTTTTTTTATTATTATTACTTTTTTTTTTTATTACTTTTTTTTCCTCCAATAAATGGATGTTTTCAAAGTCAATTATTAATCGCAATTACAATTATTGACCCAAATAATCGAGATTATGATTTTTGCCATAATCGAGCAGCCCTACTTTAGAGTGGTGCAGGAATGAGTCCTAAAACCCTAACATGACTCAGCCTTTAGTCTTCCTGTCCCCTGGTCTGGAGGTCAATGGTTTTCTGGATGTGTTTTTGGTTGTTATCCTGAAATCAGGGGGGTATACTACGAAGCAGGATTTTCTCTTAGCGGCTAAATTCAGGGAAAACTCCAGCTTTCCGGTCCTACGAAGCTGGTTCTCTTTTTAGCGGGCTAGATCTCCATGGTAACTTATGCTTAGCGGCTAACCTGGTCGGAACCTGGTTAGGTTGCAGGCTAAGAGCTCAACTCAGTGAAAGCACTGCCTGCTGACCGATCAGAGCTCAGTGTGCGGAGTGTAAAGCGATCAAGTCATATTACAGGAGAAAGGAAATACAGAAAAGCTGCCGTCGCAGGAAAGACGGCCGGCAAAAATCACCGACTGTGTGAACGTGAACATGAATAGAATATCACCTCCATCTGTCACATAGGCCTACTGTATGCAGAAGTATTATTTTAAGCAACACATTAAGTTGAGGAAACACTGGAGTCAAATGTAATGAAAGTCAGATGGTGTCTTAGACGGGCAGTGATATCATAAAGCTGTTAATGTACGCATTCAAACACTTGTTCTGTTCCCAGCTGTATTCACCTTGCAGGTGCAGCTCTGTGGCTTTGATCCTGGATCAAGTGTTTGAGTCATGGATGTTTAAAGTTTAACTTCTTCATTTTTGTCTAATATTATAGTTCACTTTTCATTCAGGAAGTATGACGCTGCGCTGTCAGTACGCTTCTCCATGTCTGTGATTGGTCGAATGCTCCAGATACCACCCCTTTCATGTGAACGCGCACCTAACTAGATAGGAAACGGCTGGCTTGAGCGATCCACTTGATAACCAGCGTCGTAGTACCGTTTAGCGAGAGCGCGTATGTTTTGGATTAGGCCAACCGGCTAACTCAAACATATCCAGGTTAGGTTGAACCAGCTTCGTAGTATAGGCCCCAGGTCTGTGGTAAACACAAGCTGAAGAGATGTTTATGACGTCGACGTCAGTAAATACTTACACTACATTAAAGTGATTTGATATCCAGACTTCATGTGTGACTGATGTCTGAAGCAGGCCTGCAGGCGAGTGCGCAGGGGGAAGGGAACCCAGACACAATGAGCAGGAAGGAAGCGGTACGAGCGGGTTATAGATGACAGAAATATATTTATTATGCAACGCCTGTTTTTCAATTTACACTAAATTCAGTCTCTGTCTTCCTCTTTAATAAAAACAAACACATCGCTGCTTCCTTAGAGATCTGGGAGCAGTCAGACCCATATCTAAGACATGTTTTATTAAGGTTATCCTTTTTCCAGCCAGGAACGTCCCATAGATACAACATCTCTGTGTCAGATAATTAAATAACAATTATGCCGTTCATTATAGGAGAACGGGAGGCCAAAATGTCCGAAATATGATAAATAAGATAAGATGTTTGCATTGCAGCAGCATAAAAACAACACAACAAAACAAGGCATTGAACATAAGTAGAAATTAAAGAGTAGAAATAAACAATTTTAGAATTAAAACGTCTCAAAATAGAATTAAAGCAGCATTAAAAAGTAGGAAATATAAATAAAGGTTTGAAAATACAGTGAAGATAAAACAAACTCTCTTCCAGCCAGAGGTGCTTTGCGATACAGAAACACTCATCAAAGTATATAAAACAGAAGCTTCTCCGTCTCTGTTTAAGTGAGCCACTGAGAGGAAGCGTGTTGATCGCACTTTAAAAGACATCTCATGCAGAACGATGCTGTCTGATGGGCTGGTCCAGCGATCAGAGGGATGTACCAGGTCGATATCCACATCACCCTCTGTCTGAAACCAGAGCCCAGTCGGCTCCGATTGGTTAGCTGGTCGGCTCTGTTGTGATTGGTCAAGGTCAAAAGCCTAAAACGTACAATGTGTTGGAGCTGTTAGCCAATAGGAGCGCATGTGTTCCGTAGTGATGTCACTGTGTTCCGGAACATTGGCATTTTAGCCTCTATGGGGGATAGAAACTCCGTCTGGAAGGAGCAAAGGGATTGTTTTGTATTTGACTAATTATTTTGACGTAAGATTTTCTGAGACAATTCATGCTGCTGTCTGATGGTCTGGTTCATCTGTCTGACACACACACACACACACACACACACACACACACACACACACACACACACACACACACACACACACACACACACACACACACACACACACACACACACACACACACACACACACACACACACACACACACACACACACACACACACACACACACACACACACACACACACACACACACACACACACACACACACACACACACACACACACACACACACACACCACACACACACACACACACACACACACACACACACACACACACACACACACACACACACACACACACACACACACACACACACACACACACACACACACACATTTGAATACTTTATTTGGTTCCACAAATTATATTACATAGACAGGGAATCAAATATATCGGGGCTAAGCAGCACAGAACACTTAGGGGAACACATAGCACCTCCTTCTCCACACGGCTAAGCTGCAGCCTTAAGGCAGGGGTGGGGAACCTCCGGCCTCCGGGCCGTATACGGCTCGAGAGACAATTTGGTACGGCCCTCGAGGTAATTTATAAACACACGCAAAAAAGAAAAAATGTAAGAAATCTAGACCGCAAAAAAATTAAACAAGCGAGGGCCTGTTTTTCCTGGCAGGGTCAGGGTCCTTGAACACAACACGAGCCTAACGTGTCATCACGTGGTATATGTCTCGACTGACAGGGGTGCAGTTCTGACGGAGAGCACCAGAACGCCGCTCCAGCACTTCAGAAATTGCAGTACCCATAAGGAGCCGTACACATGACGCAGTTTCTGCGTGTCTGTGTCTTAGTTGAAATCCCAGTGGCGATCTGCTCATCTGTCACACTGATCATACAGTCAATAACTGTGTTGTTATTAGCATCTGGTTAGCTAGCTATGCTAACGAATATAAGAAGCTTTTTCTACAACCAGTGAGGTAAAGGCACATCTTTATATGATCATTAGGCTATAGTTATAAAAAAATAAGAGAATAAAGTAAACAGGTATAAAATACTATATGACAGTAAAATAAGTTGTTATTAATAAAGAAGAATAGAGTTTGAAAGGAGAGTGATTTGTCAAATATTCATAAAGAAATATAAATCTGCTTACAGTTCTGTTTCATCTGGGTGTTGAGAGATGTTTCCATAGATCTCCTCATGTTGCTCTCAAAGTGCACCAGATTGATGCTTTCAACTTCAACATTTAAAAAAAAATCTTCCCGGGGGAGCATGCCCCCCGGACCCCCCTAGAGGAGGTTAGTTCCCCCCCCCCACTTAAATCAAGTTCACATGGATAGGAAACTAAATACATTTGCACACATCTTGTTTCCATATCTTTCTGTTTTGGTGGTCATGCCACACCGTGCACGTGCATGCATGCGCGAGTCATGGTGAGATATCTGGATTAAGAGGTTGCTTTTTCTTTGCACAGAATGAAATGAATGGGCTGTGATTTTAGTTTTTTTAAGCAGAGGTCAATAATTTGTACGGCCCTCTGAGGATATTGTAAAAATTGAAATGGCCCTTGAGAGGAAAAAGGTTCCCAACCCCTGCCTTAAGGGAACACATAGCACCTCCTTCTCCACACGGCTAAGCTGCAGCTTTAAGGGAACACATAGCATCTCCTTCTCCACACGGCTAAGCTGCAGCCTTAAGAGAACACATAGCATCTCCTTCTCCACACGGCTAAGCTGCAGCCTTAAGGGAACACATAGCATCTCCTTCTCCACACGGCTAAGCTGCAGCCTTAAGGGAACACATAGCATCTCCTTCTCCACACGGCTAAGCTGCAGCCTTAAGGGAACACATAGCATCTCCTTCTCCACACGGCTAAGCTGCAGCTTTAAGGGAACACATAGCACCTCCTTCTCCACACGGCTAAGCTGCAGCCTTAAGGGAACACATAGCACCTCCCTCTCCACACGGCTAAGCTGCAGCTTTAAGGGAACACATAGCATCTCCTTCTCCACACGGCTAAGCTGCAGCCTTAAGGGAACACATAGCATCTCCTTCTCCACACGGCTAAGCTGCAGCTTTAAGGGAACACATAGCACCTCCTTCTCCACACGGCTAAGCTGCAGCTTTAAGGGAACACATAGCACCTCCTTCTCCACACGGCTAAGCTGCAGCCTTAAGGGAACACATAGCATCTCCTTCTCCACACGGCTAAGCTGCAGCTTTAAGGGAACACATAGCATCTCCTTCTCCACACGGCTAAGCAGCAGCCTTAAGGGAACACATAGCATCTCCTTCTCCACACGGCTAAGCTGCAGCTTTAAGGGAACACATAGCACCTCCTTCTCCACACGGCTAAGCTGCAGCCTTAAGGGAACACATAGCATCTCCTTCTCCACACGGCTAAGCTGCAGCTTTAAGGGAACACATAGCATCTCCTTCTCCACACGGCTAAGCAGCAGCCTTAAGGGAACACATAGCATCTCCTTCTCCACACGGCTAAGCAGC